AACTTTCGAGGGGCTCCATACCTTCTGATCTGGCTTTGCCTCCGAGAAAGAAGTACAGGCAGAAAAGTTGTAAAAAGTTTGGCCGGCTTAGCACACTGTCGGCGCGTCTACGCGATACTCCCAGCTGCACCGGTCCATGTTTGCCGATATTTCATACTGACATCATCTGACCTTCATTTTATTCATGTCGGCCGTCCGCACAAAGGCGGGCCGGGCAGGCCGAGCAAACAGTGGAGGGCCGCGGGCCGGCCGGGCTCTAGGGGTCGGCTTTGTAATGTTACAGCGTTTAGAGAAATATTCCCGACTGATTATGAGCCGAGGATCACATCGGGATCACACGCCGCCTCGGGCGGAGTCGAACCCCGGACCGCGAGCTCGGCGAGAGCGCACTCTGGTCCCGAATACCCGCAACTGTTCGAGTTTTCAAGTAGCGATGGTTTTTCTTGTTCTTGGTCGGCAGCGCCGGGTCTCGCTTTCGGATTATCGGCTTTGGCGTGGCGTTTGCGAGTCGCTACAATGCCTCCGTGTGTGCCGACGAGTGTGTCTGTGGTGTGTGTGTGTGCGCACGCCCAAGGGTGTCAGGCGGTGTCAGGCGGTTCGAGGAGACAACTCTTTTCATCGGCCTGGCCAGGACGAGCCAGGGCCAGCCCCAGGGCCGCGGGCGACGCGGTGCAAATCTGCGGTGACATTTGTGGAGTAGCTTACACTCATTGTGTCGTCGTCGGCGGCGAGGCCGAGGCGGTGGCGCGGCGGGCAGGAAGCGCCTGGGGCTGCCGAAAGCGACACACATACACTCACACACACACACACACACACACACACACACACACTTGTATTTCGATATGTCTCCGTTTTCCAGCGTACTTCTAGTGGGCCCTATGTCGCTCTTGTTCGACGGCCGCCGGCCCGTCCGGCGCGTCCCCGGAGGGTCAGGTGGAGACAGGCGCACGACGGCCAGGCGCGGACGGAGTAGGCCAGGGCGGGCCGGGCCAGGCCGAGGGCCGGTGGGCCTGCACTGCAAGCCGGAAAGAGGACCTGGCGGACCGGGGAAGGGAAGGCCAGAAGGCCACGTCGCAAATAATGGATACGCACTGCCAGCCGTTTTATTTGTCTCTCCCACGGGACTCGCCCCGCCCCGCCCCGCCCCGCAGAGCCATGTAAATCCCATCCAATCTGACACCAGTTACGCGAGTCTCGCGTCGCAGCTTGAGAGTGTGTGTGTGCGTGACTGTGTCAGTGTGTCAGTGAGCTCGCGACAATAACAGTGCAGGGCGCTGGGCACGATGGCAAACAGCGCATCCTTCTCCATCTGTGCTAATCCCCTTAATCAGCAAAGACCTCTTTTTCCCGCGGCGGTGGTTTTCGGGAGTGTGCGCCGCGCGGCTCGGCGTGTCACCCACACTGCTGACGAGTCGCTCTGTCTCTCTCGCACCCCCGCGGGGCGGGCTGCGGCCTGCGGGGCGGATACCTGGCGACACGCCGCGGCCGTAGCGGCACCCCGCCCCTCGCACAGTGTCCCTCGCGGCTCCCTCGCGGCCCGGGCAGCATTTAGCAGTGTGTTTGCCGAGCGCATTAGCCACCGGATATCTCGGATCTTGCAATAATAACCCGAAAACCAGCGCGCCGTGTGTCCTGCCAGTCCTGCTTGTTTCCCGATGCACCGGTGCTGCACCCCGACTGCCGCGTCGCACTCCCTCTAATTGGCTGCATATTTTCTCGTGAAAAAAATCTTTGATTCATCTCCGCGGCTAAAATTTTTTTCTTTTTCCAGCCGAGGCCGGCGAACCGCAGCCGCAAGAAGAATTTTTGCGAGTGGCGCGCGCATCCGTTTATCCTTTGTCGTGTTGTGTGCTGATCCCAATTCGTCATTCTTAGCCGAGTCGGCCGCTCCAGAAAGGGTCGCGCTGGGCCGCGCCTGGGCCGAGCCTGGCCTGGGGGGCGTCTAGTCTCGTGGACGGCCCCGCCCTCGTGATGGATTCGCCTGCAGAGCAAGTTCAGTTGCCACCACACTGCGCTGGTTGCAGAATGGAAAGCCCAATTTCAGCACCAAAAACCTTCAATTTCGGAGAGAACCCTCCCCCCCCACCAAAAAATAATAAAATTATTGAAGGTAAATTAAAATTTTGGATTGAAAGTGCTGCTGCTCCATCGAGAATGTCTGTTCAAGATGTCCTCCGCCCTCCTCATACATTGGACCGGCGCTCCCGCTTGACTGTACCACTCACACTGTACGAGCACCGCTGTGTTCATCTTTGGTTTAGACGGCAGTGTTCCTAGCCGCGTCCACGGCGAGACTGGCCGGGCCGTTTGGCGAGCGCGGCGCGGCGCGGTGCGAGGCGTTTGCGTCGGGTCGGCCTGGCCCGTGATGGATCACGGCTCGACCTGTGTTGACGCTCTCGAGGAGTAGCCGCAAATTTGATTAATGGTACGGCAGAAGTCGCCCGGAGTAGCTGCCCCGCGCCACCACGCCTCCAAACGTGCCCGGGTGGAAAAGTCAAGGACTCTCCCAATTTTTTTTTCGCGAAACGTTTTTAGGTGGCGTAATTAACCTGGTGGCAGGGACTGGGCCACCCTGTTTTCACCGCTCTCTCTCTTTGGTTTCAAAGGCCGCGGTTTTCCGACGGGAGTGTACCTCGCGGCCTCGCGCACCGAGTGCCCGCCGGACCGCCGCCGCGGGCCAGACAGCGAGGCGAGACGGTTTGGAGGGGTGCTACACTGGCAAGTCTGGTGTATCGAATGCAGTTGAATGAAACGAGAGGCCGGGGGAGGGGGTAGGTGTCGAAGGGTCTGCACCGTAATCAGAGACTCACAGTGCAGTGTCGGAGAGGGGTATGGCGGGAATGGCGGCCGCGGGTAGCTCACTGTAAGTGCGCGGCCCGCGCGGCCAGTTACGCGGGTCCAAGGGGTGGCCTTCGGGGGAGGAGCCTGTCGCGGCCATGGCGGCCAGGGGTGGGGCGAGAGGAGGGCGTGGGGGGGAGGCACTGATTTAATAAGCTTTTACATACAAATGCGACACATATTGCAGCTCACCCCTTCGCCTGCCTTCGCCTGCCTTCGCCCGGTCGCTTGTTCATTCCTATTCATATGCTACTTAGGGTCATCAGTTTGAGGATCTAGCAGACCGACAACAGCAGCCTGCGGCCAAAAATGTTAGCAGTTTGGTTTTTTGAAGAAAAAAATGGCTCTGTTTTGTGGTGAGGTTGGAAGAGTGTGACAATAAGACTTGAAAGCAGATGTAGTAAATGCCGATTTTTATTTTGAAGATGCTCTTTTCAAGGATTATATGTTTTGTGAGTGTTGGCAAACGTGGTAAAATTAGTAAAAGAATACTAGCTTTACTGCAGTTTCCTCGAAGGAAGATAATAATTGCGAAGGCCATCTCAGCACAACAATTTCAATTAGGCGTTTCTTAAAGTAACAATGAAATCTGCAAATTTGTTTTACTTCGTTGGAAAATAAAAGGTGCCAAAAGCAATGAAAGATATCAAGTAGTAAATGGAGAGTACATATATGTTGAAAATGCATTGATTTAAATAACGGAAGAAAACAGATTTTGTCGTACAGAATCGCGATCAGGCCTCACAGAAACCACCATCGACAAGCAAAACCAATACCATTCAAAATAATAATTGAATATTGTTTTGAAATATCGCAACAGAATAACAATACCGAACGATTTCTTAATACTAGTTCATTACAAACTGTAGGCTCTTGGCTACATGGTCCAATACTCACATGATTCGTGAAAACACCTCCTACTGTACATTGATACCTTTTCGCTGAGGCCACTCACAGTCCTCACAAAACCAACATCAATCGCGCTCATAAAAATAGAACCATTTAATAAATTGTCCTTTAACCTTAAGAATAAAGATATGCACTATCCGATACACGACTGTTCCATTAGTCGGATTTAACAATGAATCCTTAACGACTGTTTGTACATTTTGATTTCCTCTTACTGCGTGTATAGCAAAAATATATATGAAAATTAAATTAATCCGATTCGTAGAAGAAGAAAAGAGTTCCACCACATACCTGGCCTAGGTAGCACCATCAAAAACGAAATGGAACCATAGCACACTCAAATTCAGCACACCACGCTGAGCGTGGGAATAAGAAACCTAAACTAGAGCGCATAGCTATCAGATATGTCGATTTTTCTTTAGATTACAATAGAAAGTGTTTCCTACTTTGTTTAGATAGGCACTTTTTTCACTCGCTTCTTTCTAGACGACAAGATTATGACAAGACAGAAGGCTCGCCAAGGAGAGGACGAAGCTTTCGATAGGGCGTTGAAAATATAAGTTATTTTGGCGACATGCGATATGACTACTGCGTGACAGAAAATACATGCATGCTTACAAAATTAAAATAGATAGCTCTGAACATGAAAAACTTGGCAAATATTTAACAACAACAACAGTAGTATAGCGTTTCTGAGTACAAAATTGCTGTACAGGGGAAATGTATATATAAAACTAAAATTATCTATATGGAAGTACAGAGATTCTTATTGTGACTTTCGGAGAAGAATAGGTCACGCCAAATAAAATTAGCTGGCAAGTAGTACCCAAATGAAGATGAAGCTTTTCGAACCTTGGAAAGTTTTACGCCTGCTTTGGAGCACTGGTCTTTGAGCAATACTTGTTCAAGTTTCAAGTGTGTGTCTCATAAAACTAGGCTGTACACTTTGGGTCAGCGACGCGGAGTGAAAAAATCTCAACGTCTCGCACACACGCACACACTCTCGTAAACACGCGCGCAGCTCACTCTCGCACTACATGGAAAGCTTGTATAGAGGGCGCCACTTCTAGTGTGACGCGACCGTCACCGCCCTCGGAAGAGTAAGAAAAAGTCAGTCGATCACAACCATGTCGTCGGAGGGCGTCGCCGTGGTGCCCTCTACCTCACTGCCACCCTGCTGCCCTCACGGCCCTCGCGGCCCGCGCCGTTCTTGGCTCGTCCGCTGCCGGCGCGCTGCGGCGCTGGCGGCGTCGAGTCCGGCGCGGAGCCCTGCGCCGAGTCCTGTAACTTGACGAGCAGAAACTCGCTGCGTCTGTGGCGGTGGACGGGCAGGGGTGGCCCTTTATGCTACTTGAAGCGCAGCACGACGGGGAAGATGAGCTGGTAGCACGACAGGAGCACAGCCGCCGCCACGCTGGCGCTGATGACCGAGTAGCACACCACGAGGTGCACCACGGCGAACACGTACAGCGTCTTGTCGCACCAGGCGTTGGGCTCGAACAGGGTGGCGGCGTACGACGGCCACATGATGTGCACGATCCAGTAGTTGCCCATGCAGAACCACACGACGAGGAAGAGCGACAGGGCCCAGCAGGCGATGCGCGCGCCCAGGGAGCCCGCCACGTCCGAGTCCATGGCGGCCTGGCCCAGCCCCGCGCCCAGCTGCGCGTAGCGGCGCGACACGGACTGGCGCCACACCAGCCACGCCATGCGCACCGTGCCCAGGATGCCGCCCACCAGCATGTACATGGGCAGGTGCGGCTCCTTGGGGCAGTCGCGCAGGTACTTGATGCCTGCGGCCCAAAGCAGCCTTCAGTGCAAACGGCCAAAGCCTCCCGGAAACGAACCGCTTTAAAGCGCAGACTCACCCATGAACAGCATGATGATGGGCATGACGGTGAGGCACACGAGCACCACGGTGACCAGCGCTGCGGGGCACAGAGAACAGTGTAGTGACTCATTCCGGCAAAGAGGCGGTCAGGGAGTGGAGTCACGCTCACCCGTCTTGTACACGATGCCGAGCGCGCGGCACACGAAGTCGCACACGCCGGAGGCCTCGATGTTGGCGTCCTTGATCTGGTACACGAAGGAGCCGTAGGCCGTGAGCCCCGTGGACGACTCGGCGGCCAGCTTGGTGTGCTCGGCGCACAGCTGCCGCCTGTCGTCGCCGGACATCTGCGGCACCCAACAGCATGAGCCTCTGCGGCGTCCACAGTGTCGGGCAGTAGTTGGACGCTCACCTGAGAGGGGTTGCTGGAGGCACGCCTCGATCCCGCCTCCGTCCAGGACGTGCCGTAGCTCGTGCCCCGGCCAGGCATTCCGCTGCCGGGTCCGGAATTGGCGGGGCCTCGGTAGGGGGAGGGGCTGCGCTGCGAGCCGGCACGCGATGGGCCTGCGGACAACACGCAAACAACACATTCGAGGCGGAGCGTGGCGGGGCGTGGCGGAGCACGACCAGGCTCACGGCAACCGTTACGACCAGGGCAATAGCCGTCTCGAAGTGCACATTTCCGCCTGGGAGGCAGGCATCCCAACGGACGCCCAACCCTTGGCGCCTACCGGGTAGGCAGCCCAACGTACACACAACCCCTAGCGCCTGCGGGGTAGGCAGCCCAACGCACACCCAACCCTTAGCGCCTGTGGACTAGGCAGCCCAACGTACACCCAACCCTTAGCGCCTGCGGGGTAGGCAGCCCAACGCACACCCAACCCTTAGCGCCTGTGGACTAGGCAGCCCAACGTACACCCAACCCTTAGCGCCTGCGGGGTAGGCAGCCCAACGTACACCCAACCCTTCGCGCCTACCGGGTAGGCAGCCCAGCGCACACCTCACCCCTGCAGGCTCTCTTCTCTAACACAGGCCAGCCGAATGGGGCGTGTGCGTGTGGGATGGGCGGGATGGCGCGGCCAACGACATGAGGGCGTCGACCTGCACCCCGCGGCCGCTTCGGCGTCTGGCCGCGCCGCCACGCCTCGCGTCTTATCTTCCTGCTTCCCCCTCCTCCCCCTCTTCCTCCTGCGCCTCGCCGGCAAGGACCCCCTCGGGGCCGACGGGCCGGCGGGCCGAGGCGCGGCGGTGTTGACCCCACTTTTCACGGAACGCCGTCCCCCGGGAGCGACGTGGCGGCGGGGAGCTGGGCCGCACCGCCAGAGCCGCAAAACACAATACCCGCATGACGCCAGCAGGGGATTCGCACGGCGGGCTGCCTCGCCAGGGCGCCGCCAGGGCGTTTAACAAACCTGCGACGGCGAGGTCGACGCTGCCGCGGCCGGTGAGGCTGCCTCTGGGCGACAGGGAGTTCCTGGGGCTGCGGTTGAGGTCGGCGCCGAGCGAGCCGCGCGGGCTGCGGTTGTAGGGCGAGGCCGAGGGGTCGACGCCCGCGCCGATGCTGCCGCGCGGCGACCGCGACGCGCCCATCTCCTGCACGTAGGAGCCCCTGGGCGAGCGGCCCGGGTCCATGCCGCCGATGCTGCCGCGCGGGCTGCGGCTCAGGTCGACGCGCGAGTCGCTGTCCGGGACCAGGCTGGACCTCGGGCTGCGGTTGAACTCCACGTCGGCGGGGATGAGGCTCGGCCGCGGGCTGCGGTTGAACTCCCCGGACTCGGGGCCCAGGCTGGAGCGCGGGCTGCGGTTGAACTCCACGTCGGAGGGGATCATGCTGGGCCGCGCGCTGCGGTTGAACTCCATGTCCGAGGGGATGAGGCTCGGCCGCGGACTGCGCCCGGAGTGCGGCTGGTCGCCGGAGTCGGGCGGGATCAAGCTGGGCCGCGGGCTGCTGCGGGTGTAGTCCATGTCGCGGTCGCGGTCACGGTCTCGATCGCGGTCCGGGTCTCGGTGACGATCTCTGCCGTCCCGATCCCGGTCTCTGTCACGGTCCCTGTCCCGGCGACTGGCCACGTACTCCACGTCGCGCTCGTGCACCATGCTGGGCCGCGGGCTGCGGTTGTAGGAGGGAGGGTCGCAGTCGGAGGGCACCAGGCTGTGGCGGGGGCTGCGGTTGGCCGAGGGGCCGTCCGGGCAGAGGCTGTTGCGGGGGCTGCGGTTGTAGTCAGGCACCAGGCTGTTGCGCGGGCTGCGGCTGTAGTCCGGCACCAGGCTATTCCGGGGGCTCCGGTTGAAGTCCGGCGCCAGGCTGGATCGCCGAGTGTAGTCGCCGGCCACGGCGGACTCCGGGGTCAGGCTGTTCCGCGGCGACCGCGCCTTGTCGGGGGCCAGGGTGTTCCGGGACCGCGACGACGTCACCTCCCCGGACAGCAGCTCCGGCGCGATGCTCTTCCGGTGGCCGCGGTCGAAGTCCGGCGCGTCCACGTCGAGGCCCCGGTCGAGGCCGAGCCGCGAGCCCCTGGGGCTGACGCCGTCCAGCCCCAGCGCCGAGTTGCCGGGGGAGCCGCGGGGGCTGGTCTTGCTGATGGTGGGCGGGCCGAGGCCGGGGTCGACGCCGAGGCCAGAGAGCCCCTCCCCGGCGGAGATGCTGGCCCTGCGGCCGCCTCCGGGGCCCCCGCCTCCAGGGCCCCCGCCAGCCTGCAGGCCGGCCGCGCCCAGAGTGGCGATGCCGGACGCGGCGGAGATGGAGCCCCTGGGACTGCGCGACGCCCCCGTCGTGGACGGCGCCCCCAGGCGGTTCGGCGACGACGCCGCGCTGCGGGAGGCGCGCCGCCGCCGTTGCGACGACAGGCTACGGTTCAGCATGCTGGCGGCCTCACATGGCAGCGGCACCTGCAACAAGCACACGCCAATCAGCCACCTAACGTCCCTGCCCGAGTCTGTGCCGTCAACGTGTTTTCCAGAGTACTCATTCCGTCTCTCGCCCCGAAGTGGCAGTTCCGCCCTTCTGCCAAATCCTTGTACAATATTTCTTTTCTCCTTTCACTCCCGTTCCCTCGAGCCCGCTCCCACTTTTGTCTCCACGCGTATTCATAAAATGCAATGGGGTTGAAAACGAGAAACGTCTCTCTGAGTCGCCGAGCGTCGCTGGAGGGGCGCGGGGCGTGGGGTGAGGGGGCGTGCCCGGGCCTTAGAGTGGTCCAGCGTCGTCCCATTCTTATTCCACACCGCACAGGGCAGCTGCAGCCCGCCGCTGGACTCATCGTGTTTTTTGATGAAACGGCAGACAGACAGATGGACGTGCGGACAGACAGACAGACAGACAGACAGACAGACAGACAGACAGACAGACAGACAGACAGACAGACAGACAGACAGACGGGCAGGCAAGTCTCTCCGTGATCTCATCGCGACTTGTCCGAGCGGATCACCATCCCGGCAAATGGAGGCTCACTGTTTTGCGCCGTGATCCGGCCGGGCCGCCAGTGGAGGCGCAAGAAGCTGCAAGCGGCCCGGCAGTCAGAGAGGGGCTCTGCCAGCTGCGCCGCCGCGCTGCCAGGCGGTCAGCAGGGCGGGATCGGACGCACACTGGTAAAAATGTGGTCGCGAATACCTGGAGCTGCTGCCGGCTGGGAAAGGGCTGGCAGTGGGCTGGACGCTGCCATGGTGGGGTGGGGGTTCGACGCGAGGGGCATGGAGGGGCACTCGACGTCCGCGGCGCGCGGTACTGTTACGAGGATTCCTGAGATTCCAGCAGCAAGACGTCGTCGTCGTCGTCGCGGACGCTGCAAGGCCGCCGCCGTCCGCGCCCTGGCGGTGCATCCCGTGGCCCTGCTGGCGGTGCACTCGCCAGGATTGGAGCTCCCCCTCCCCCAGGGCCGTGTTCTATGCAAATGATTGCGGGAATGAGAAAACTTGTAATAACCGGGATAATCCCGGCGCCTTAAGCCCTTGCCTTGGCGACGTGATCGCCTCATCGCCGCCGGGGTAATGGAAAAGCAAAGTGCATCTGCAGAAGGGCTGCTCTGGGGCCGAAGGAAGGCTCTGGGCAGGAGAAATGCTATGAGGACAGGACAGAAGAAATGCTCTGGCCTTCTCCAAACGACCGAAGCAGAAACTTGTTTGCAATTATATTTGTCTTGTGGACTTTTCATGAAAATGGAACACACTTGAGAGCGGTCCGAGTCGCGCTCCGCTTGTTTGTGAGGAAGTGTTTCATTAAAATGGCGGGCGGGGAGCCAGTGGGGAGTTGGGGGGGGGGGGGAGCCATTCAACAGCGCTGGTCAAGAGTATCTCGCAAGGATAATGGGCGCTGGAACAAGGGAACAAAGGGAGCTGGTCTAGTTTGGCAGTGTGGTGGCAGTGTCATCGAACGGACGGCTGCGCCCCAGAGCTGCGCCCCCTGGAGTTCCACTGGGTTCCCCAAAACGTGGCGTTCTATCACGCCGGCTGTCATCGCCACTCGCCACTTTCGATCACCGCCAAGCCCCAAGCCCGGCCGCACAAGGCCGCACTACCGACGAGGTGGCGTCCGGTTTTCTTTACATTAATCATGCGCTTTCACGCAACAATGATTGATCTACTCGCTCCAATGCCCACATTATTTCTTCAATAACTTCGAAATATATTTTTTTTGAACTCACTCAGGCTGTTGTACTGTGCTTGCACCCACGATGGGGCGCCACCCGAAGGTAGAACACACCAGTGTAGGGACCCACTCTGCCAGCGTCGCCAGTGCCTTCGAACACGCGGGCTCCCTGGACTGACTCCGAAGGATCGTTTCTGTCTCTCTCGCACCCACACGGGACGCCCTATGAGTGCGAGAGGGACAGGGCGGCGAGAGCGACCTCCGGAACCAGTCTGCTAGCGTCCTGCCGTCCTGGGCGCTGCCACCCTCGAGTGCACGGGGCCCTTGAAGGCGCGGAGGACGGGGCGGGCGTGTGTCTCCCTGCGCTGCCCCTGTCCCAGGCCCCTGCCCCCCAGCCGCAGGCCGCAGCGGCCCCGCGAGACCCGCGCTCCTCGTCAAGAGCTCCAGAAGGGTGTGCGGTGGGACGGGGCGACTCGGGCCGCAGCCCCAACGGAGCCCCGCCGTCCGCCCTCGCCACCGCCAGGACCGCCAGGACGCCACCGAGCGCCTCGAGACGGAGGGCACCGCCCCGCACGCTGCGGTACCCCACACTGCTTGACGTCGCGGTGGGCGGCCACAGCCGTGGGTGGGAGAGCGCGCACGCACGCACGCACACAATATTAAATCAAAAAGCGCTATCGGAAGTTGGAAAAAGTAGGTAGTTTTTGAGTGTCTTGCACAGTGTTGGGGCGCGGCGCCGCGCTGTTTGACTAACGACCCAGGGCCCTGCAAGAGGGGGGGGGGAGAGGAGGGCTCGGTGGACGCCATGCGCGGCACGGCCGCGGCCCGGCGAGGCGAGGCGAGGCGACACGTCGCAATCCAGAGCGCCCGCCACGCTCATTCCGAACATGCGTCGTCGCTCTGTCTCTCTCGCACTCGGGGGCGGCCGGTGGGACCGGTATAGGGGTGCGAGAGAGACCGCTGCTCACTCATTAGAGCGCCGCCGAAGTCCCCCGGAAGTCGCGGGCCCGAAAGCAGCCCTTGAATTTCCGGTGAGGCAGTACGCGGCGTGTGTGTGTGTGTGTGTGTGTGTGTGTGTGTGTGTGTGTGTGTGTGTGTGTGTGTGTGTGTGTGTGTGTGTGTGTGTGTGAGTGTGCCTGGGCGCCGGGCACGGCGGCACGGCCTCTCCATTTCCGCATCCACTTCAAGGAGAGGGTCCGCGCCTTGCGGCGCGGGGGAGGGGAAGCCACTGGCGCGTCTCGCCGGCCTCGCCAATCCACCAATCCCGTCCCGGATTGGCTGTCTAACGCATCCACATGTTTCCGTTTCCAACCGAGCGTGCCGTGCCGTGCCGTGCCCGAGGAGTGCCCAGGGAGTGCCCGAGCAGAGGCTGGCGGTGTCGGTGGCGGCTCTCCGGCCCCGCCCCCGCGATTCCAAACTTTGCATGAGACCGAAACAAGTGTTTGGTGAAGTTCCACCTCGAGCGGAGGGCGCGCGGCGCTGGCAGCTAAAACCTCTCTCCCTCTCTCTCTCCCTCTCCACTCCCCCTCCTTCTCTTCTCATTACGCGCCCCGGCCTCATCTCCCCACCTGACTCGGGCAATAATTTGGCGTCAAGACATTGAGGCGAGTTGCCTGCCTGCCTCGGCGCTTCGGCCAGGAAGTAGGGAACCTGCCACGCCCCGCCGCTACACTGGGAGGGAAGTACGTACAGTCAATCTACGGGGCCGAGCCATTTCGAAACACAATGACGGAGTCGCTCCGACAGTGGAGCCGACAAGGAGGCAGCCACGCCGAGCGTCTTGTTGCGCTGCTCGTCGTACCGACTCGCCCTTGGCCTTCTCTGCCTTGGCCCGCGCGGCCAGTGGGCCAGAAGGCCGGCGGAGGCCGTCAAAATCACGGACGGCGTTTTGAGCTCCAGAGTCGCTAGATTGGAGTAGAACCGAACGAGTGACCCTACCAATGAATTCCTCATCCGGAGAGCAATCCATTGGTGGGGTCACACGCTCGGTTCGAGTCCTGTGAAGCGACTCTGGAGCTCAAAACACGTCTTTGGCCGCCGTGGCGCTGGTCTTGGCCCACTGTGCTACACCCACCTCCACGGTCCCTGCCTTATGCTTCATTCGCCCCGCTAATGCGGCTACAACTCCTTGCAGGCCACGGGGTGGCCGGGGCGGAGGTGGAGGGGGTGGGGGGCAAACATCCCGCCGCCTCCCCGCTGACCACGCCTTCCGCACGTGGCACACTGGCACACCACACGACCCCCAGACTCCCACGCGTGGCGCCAGCGGACTGACTCCGAGAGCCGCTTTCGTCGCTCTGTCTCCCTCGCACTCATTGGGCGTGGGTGGAGGAGAGACAGAGCGACGCGGGCGACTCTCGGAACCAGTCTGCTGGCCCGGCCGTCCGGCGGGCCGTCTTCGGAAACGCCCCCCCCCTCCCCTTCCTGGCCGGCGGGCCCGGCTGCGCCGCGTGAGGGTCGGAAATACCAGCGAGTTTCCGGACGCGGCCCGGCCGATGAATGGCCCTGCCACCGAAGAGCGCCGCGGTTTGTCACCGCTGCCCCTCCCCCTCTTTTTCGACGTGTCCTTGCCGTGGCGGGTCGTTTCCATAGCAACAGCGCGAGCCTGCCGTCTTAATTTTCAAATTAACGGCGGCGCGGCACTGATCGTGGGACACTTTGGTGAGTCAGTGGGCCTTGCCGCCAAGTGAGTGGGGTGCAAGGCCTTGTCGGGGTCCCCGGGGATGGAGGCCGCCACCACAATCCACCCCACTAGAGTCACCGACCGCCGCTCACCTCAAACACTCCCCCGCAGTCCACGGTCCCGGCGTTCCGGGCCTGCGGGCGTCAACCGCACCTCCAGCGTGGACGGCCAGGCCAGCTCCAGCTAATAAAGCGCCGTGGCACCGGGGCGGACCGGGCGGCCAGCGGGTCGGCGGCAGCCTAGACAAGCAGTCCGTTCCGGTCGAGAGGAAAGCCTAGAGGGGCTGCAGTTCGGGTGCTTCCAAATGCGA